TCACAGCAATTAATAATTGGTTAAAGCGACGTTCGGAGTTACTCACACTAAAGGCGACCTCAATGTGAGGTGAGTTAGGGCCTGCCGACGGATCGGTGAAGCTATTTGAAGCGAGCATATGGTCGTCCATTCGAAGCCATGCAATGTGAGTGGTGCCTTGAACCGCAAACGGACCAGTGTGTGTCTGATTCCATTCTGCAAATGCTTCAGTGAATCGTGTAGTGTTCTGGGTGATCAATTCCAGTGTTTGATTGGAGTTCACAAACCAACCAGTGCCGAACAGGGGTTGGTCACTGGCGTTGCGTCCAACGCTCGGGAGATCGAGGAGACAGGGTATACCGAGACCAGTCAACGTTACTCGATCTCCTATTCCCGAGTGCATGAGAATGTTCGGAGTACCGACGGAGCCAGCGGAGAGAATGATCTCCTTTGCAGCTGTCGCGGTGAACAGAATCCCTCCTAAATCACCGTTAGTGACTTCTTTTCTGTTGGAAGTAATCGAGTACCTTGCGAGAATTGCACTCCTTCAAATGTGAATTTATCGCCAACACGCCTAGAATCGACAAGCTTCGTTACTTGTGCGTGCAGCAAAACATGAAGATTTTCCCGGTGAATAAATTCGGGGCCTAAATATGATGCTGCAGAGCTGCTTCGCTTCCCGTCTCCGATGGTAGATTGCAACCAACCTATCTCGTTTCTCAGATACTTTTTGCTTTGCAACGAGTGTTTAGCAAACGTACCAAGGCCTAACGGCCTGCCGGAATTCATATCCAAATTGAAAGGCCACTCGTCGGGAAGCTCTTGGGTAGCTTCAATTATATGTTGGGAGAAAATGGGCCAAGCGAAGCCGGCCAGGCTAACTGAATTAATACCCTTGGTGCTATGCACAGACGGGTCAAATTGGCCTCTTGTGTCGTGATGGTCCGCCGGTTCGGTCCATCTTTCGTTCTGGGGCGCGTCAGACATTCAGCGATGCTGTCGAATGAGAGGAAGCTCGCACCTTGAAGAAATACGGCAATAAGCGATCCCAGGACCATCCAGGATCCCCAGTAATTGAGGCATAACGATCATAATCCTCCGCCGATGCACGTGTGTAAACCATTCCATCTAATGGCGTACTTCAGCACGAGCAGACTTGGATGAGAGACATCTTACTGTGTGCACTGCATCCTCCAAGGATATGCGCTTTCAAGAAGATCAAGCTCGTGATCGGTATGAAATATTTATAAACCGACCTCTGGGGATTGCGATATTCCGGTCATTCAAACCACGTTGAGGAACAGTGGTGTAGTCTGTATCGTGAGTTGACGGCGCTCATAGACCACACATTTAACATACTCCAATCATAGAAGGGTTGAGCTAGAAAATCGCCGACAAGGAATGGAACAATCGAGTCGGTGACTCCCTCATTCCTAGAAAACAATTCGATTAATTATGAGAAGAGGAGATTTGTTGCACTCACGACACGCCAGCCTCCAAGACCAAGACAGAAAATTTGGGGTTTTCAGTTAAACGATTTGCCACAACATTTCCGGAAGTTCCTCCTAGTGCATTCAACGATATAAGCTCGGAATGGAGAATGGAGTTTCATACCTCCTACAATGACGAAGTCGTACGAAAGACCAGGGAGCTGGGCCACATCTTCATACACCTTGCAGAAACATTGGGGAACGAGATATGCGAGAATTAATAGAGCCCTCGTCAACATTGCTGGGGACGGACACCAGGAGAAGAGCTGGCCGTATCAATATATATCGCCGGAAGTAAATCCGAGTCGAGCCAGGAGGAGGACTGCAAGGCCAAGGAAGAAATCGAAGAGAAGAGGGTTGGGAAGCTTAAGCTTATATCTGGGCACGACACACGGGACCTTGGTCCGTGAGACGCTGCTGGAGTCCGTTGCCGTATTCCATCCTGCTTATTCGGGAAACTTGAAGATCATCTTTGCGGCAAGGTGGCAGTATCGTGAACCTTTTCACCCATACTGGGACCTAAACCTTACAATGGCCGCATCATCCCCACTGGAAGTCGCGCAGTTCGCACATAGCACCAAAGCGGGAACCAAAAAATCTGGCCGTGCGATACCGCTCAGAACCAAAGATTCCAGCCGCTCCTTGGGCGCCAGCATTTCCGGTGTCTCGATAGGTTGCTGCCCCAATGGCCATGGAGAGGATTGACTTGACAAACAGCAGCATAATTTTTTGCCCGTGCGCACAAAAATCTGGGATGTGGGAAGCATGCTTAAACATTCGGAACGGCTTGGTGGTGGATATTTCACGGCATTCCTTGGTTCTGCATGGTAATGAATTACAGCCTTTTGCAGTACCGAAGGCGCGGATCAGTTTCCTTCTATTTTCAGATGATTTCAAAGAATTCGCAATATCTCTGTGAATTCCCCACCGCTTCCCATGAAAAGTATATAGAATTACTCAGTTAATTCATACGGAATTAGTGATAGAATGAAAATCGTAAAAAATATCATATATTCAGTAAGATTGGTTGACAGGGCCATTTTATGGATAAATCCAGTATACAACCCTCTAGACACATTCAAATGATGTAGATTTTTGCCAGAGAGACATTTAATACATTCTGAAGGATGCGATAGAGTTCAATTCACACACAGTTTAGCTGTGGGTTCAAATATCACAATAATTTCTGACTGTAGGTACTGCCTTTTATCCAGACGTGTTTATGACAATGATATACTACACTTTTCAGAATTCTGACTCTATCACATCTTTTGACAGGTATTGAAGGCCTTCCTAACAAAAATCTACATGAGTTGGATGTGTCTAGAGGGTTCTACACTGGATTCATCCACAAAATGGCCCTGTCAACCAATCTTACTGAATATATGATATTTTTACAATTTTCATTCTATCACTAGTTCCGCATGAATTAGCTGAGTAATTCTATATACTTTTCAACAGAATCGGTGGGGAATCCACAGAGATATTATGAATTCTTTGAAATCGTCCGAAAATAGAACGAAACTGATCCGCGCCTTCGGTACTGCAAAAGGCTGTAATGCAGAAAGAGCTCGTTCGATTCGGGCTTGCACGTGGATGGTTCATGTCTGCATTCTTTGTTTATATCCATTCAAACCTCATATTATGCAGAAAGAGCTCATTCGATCCGGGCCCAAGCGATCGGACGTGTATGGAGACATATTTTTTGGCTACTCTTTGCATTGAGAAATGTAGGAAGGGATGCTTAAGGAGATAAACAGTTTGGTATTAGAGGGTGGCTCACATTTGCATTCCTTCGGGCGTTGTGTAGCATACGATGCAGAAAGAGCCCGTTTGATTTGGGCTTGAGCCATGTGCTGTGTTTAGGAACTCCCTTCAGTCTTTTTGCAAGAATCACAATATGCAGGAAGGGATGTTCAAGGAGAGAAAAGGCTTGGTGGTGGGTGGTCCACATTTGCATTCCTTTAACTTGAAAAAAAAACGGCTCGTTCGATTCGGGCCCAGGCCATATGTTGTGACACAAGAACCTCATTTTCTTGCTCAGTGTTTGCAAGAATTGCAATATGTAGAGAGAGACGACTCTCAGGGGAGAAACGGCTCGATAGTGGATGGTCCACGCTTGCATTACCTGTGAATACTGCTGTACTTGAGCTAGTTCATGCAGAAAGTGCCCGTTCGATTCGGGCCCGAGCCATATGAGCGTCGGGAGGTTTTTTCTTGTACTATCTGCGTGTTTAATTTATCAAGCTGAAATTGGCGCAGCAATATGCGCTCGGACACAATTTGTGTTGTCCCGGTGGCAGTCAATGCGCGTAGCCATCGCCGTACTACCCGTATCAACGAGTTCGCGAAATACATGGCGAGAATAGGCTTTGAATATTTGTCCCTAAGCTTGACGTAACTGTGGCTGCCAGTGGTCGCTAGAGGGAACTTGAATTATAAGGTGGCGGCAAGGAGCAAGATGCCGCGGCGAACGCTGTCGGCGCACCATCAATGGATTGATCCGGCTTGTTCCGCAAGGAGTGGTTTAACTCAACATTTTCGACGGGAGGGAGCTTGCCAGATTTCGACCTGTAATTCAAAGGCTCGGTTGTGGATGGTGCATTTTTCCGGCATCGCGTTCCATTCAAGCTGATGCAGAGAGAGCTCGTTCGATTTGGGCCCGAGCCATAGGGCATGGTGTTGTCTGTTTGGACAATTTTACTCATTTCGTTTTTTGGAAGAGTCCTGAAAGGAGATTTCTTGTAGGAGGGCGGCTTTTAAGTCAAAACTGCTTGGTGGTGGACGGCCCACACCTGCATTACCTGCGTTTCTCGGAAGTCGGGTTCATGTAGAGAGCGCCTGTTCGATTCGGGTCCAAGCCGTTCTGTGAATTGAACGCGGCAATTTTTTCACCCCTTTCTTTATATTTTACTTTATCAAGCTGAAATTCTTGGTAGCTAGATTAAAAATTGAGCCCCGAAATTCATATTACGAGTGAGGCAATTCTGCTCACCCTTTGCGCGCAGATGTATTGAGGGTAGTTTGAAGATTCCGAACGGCTCGGTGGTGGTGGTTCACATCTGCTTTACTAGGTAGGATAGAGCAAGGTGAGCCTGTTCAATTCAGGCCTGAGCCTATGTAATGATCAGATCGCGGAGTACCCTTTTAGTTTTATCTCTCTCGGGTTCAAAAATGGGTATTTATCAAGACAAGGGTAAGTAAAGACAAGGCCTGTATTGGATGGTCCACGCTTGCATTACCTGTGAAGGCGTTGTTGTACTCGGGTTAGTTGATGCAAAAAGAGCTCGTTCGACTCGGGCCTGAGCCATGTGTGGTGAGGATGCCTTTATGTTTTGCTTCATCAAGCTGAAATTGACGCAGCTAACCGAAGCACTGGAATGTACTGTTAAGAGGACTATAGAGAGCTCTGACTTGAGAAGCAAGAATTTTGCTCACCCACCGCCAAAATCCGGTCCAGTATTTATGGAGCCAAGTTTGAAGATTCAGAGAAATGTGTTGTGTAGGAAGGGTCAATGCCAAGAGAGAGATGGCTCAGTGGTGGATGGTCCACATCTGCATTACTTACAGTTTCGTAGATTTGTAAGCAGGTGCAGCCTGTTCGATTCGGGCCTGAGCCATTTGCAGTGGTTATTGAATTTTTATTTATTTTAAACCTGAAAAGTATTCATGATATTGGGGTTGGATTAGAGGTGAACAAGGCTGTGGTGGTGGATGGTCCACACGTGCACTGCTTAGATCCGAGTCAAGTTGCGTTGACGCAAAAAGGGCTCGTTTGATTCGGGCCCGAGCCATGGGCAAAACGGGTGTCGTCTCATTTTTTTAATGTGTCAATTCTTTATAAAAACGGTGTATATATGATGGGTCAGTTCAAGGAGAGGAAAGGCTTGGTGGTGGATGGTCCACGTCTGCACTCCTTGTCATGTCTTGTGTGTTTTGATGCGGAACAGCCCGTTCGATTCGGGCCCAAGCCATTTGCGGGTTTTCATCAAGGTTTTTTTTTTTTTTGCCTTCCTCACTGCGCAATGTTTTGCTTCATCAGGTTGAAATCCGGCGTTGGTTGTCGCGGAAGGGCTGAAAGTGGACCTCTTATATGTGACCATGAAGAGGATTGACTTGACAAATATCAGCAACATAAATTTTGCCTATGCGCACCAAAAAAAATCTGAGATGGAGGGAGCATAGCTCAAACTTTCAGAATGGCTTGGTGGTAGACGGTCCACGTCTGTATTCCTTGTCTTTGGTTTTGTACGGGAATAAGTTAATGCAGAAAGAGCTCGTTCGATTCGGGCCCGGGCCATGGATTGTTCTCGTCACATTTTTAAACATCACATTTTAGAATTTCCAAAAATCATGCATGTGGGATGGATGAGTTCAAGGAGAGAAAGGGGCTTGGTGGTGGATGGTTCATGTCTGCATTCCTTGTGAACCTCTTGGTTGATCTTGATGCGGAGACAGCCCGTTCAATTCGGGCCCGAGCCGTGTGTGGTGATCACCGGTGAACATGTTTTTTTGTCGCTCTTTCCATTGAGAAATGTATTATGTAGGAAGGGACGGTCCAAGAAGAGAAAAGGCTTGGTAGTGGACGGTCCACATCTGCATTCCTTGATGCACGCACATTGGGTTAATGCAGAAAGAGCTCGTTCGATTCGGGCCCGAGCTACACTGTCGTTATGGAGCTAACTTTTTGGACAATTCTTGCTCACTCTTTGCAACAATTGCAATATGTAGGATGGGCCAATTGAAGGAGAGAAAAGGCTTGGCGGTGGATGGTCCACGTTTGTATTCCTTTGAAGGTGTATCGTGATGAAAAAAAAACAGCTCGTTCGATTCGGGCCCCAGCCACAGGAGTTTAGGAGTCTCATTTTTCGTTGCTCAGTGTGTGCAAGAATTGCAATGTGTAGAGAGAGTCGGTTCTGAGGGGAGAATCGGCTCGGTAGTGGATGGTCCACGTTTGCATTACCTGTGCAGGTAATTAGTGCTTGAAGGAGCTGGTTCATGTAGAAAGCAGTGTTGGCCCTAAGGCCTAAGGCCTTAACGGGGCTAAAGCTTAGGAGGGCCTTAGGCTAAGCCTTAGAGCTCAGCCTGAAAATTTTCAGACCTTAGAGGCCTTAACCGGGAGACCGGGCCGAATTTTCCTGCAGAGCCGGCGTTTTTGGTACGCTTACACTCTGCTTCCACCTATAGACTGGAGTTGAATCTGCTCGGGCTGAACAATTTTTCACCGAAATGCAGAATTATAACAGGTGTAAAGGCTGCGTCAAGCAATGTCTTAACATCAAAGAAGTTGCAGGGCTCAATGGAGTGGTAGAGATGGGATTTAAGGAGGAATAGTCTGTGCAAATGTCCCCTGGGGGTGAATATGGTGTCTCATTTCTTCCCGTCATCCAAAACGAAGGAAATTGGCACATAATGAGACCGTGGGAAAAACTGGGCTTAAGGCCTTAAGATGACCCCTTAGCCTAAGCCTTAACCCTTACTAAGCCTTAGCCATTCTCGGAACTGCTGTTAAGGCCTTAAGGGCCAACACTGGCAGAAAGTGCCCGTTCGATTCGGGCCCGAGCCATCTTTCCTGCAAGTGTCGGTACTTTTTTCTTTTATGCTTTATGTTGTCCCGGTTGCAGTGAATGTGGAGAAGCGCGGTAGGCATAGTAACCGCACGGGAGGATATCAACGAGCTCGCAGAATACGAGAATGGGGCTTGAATAGAGTGCAACAAGACTGGTGGTACAAAGAGATCGGCATGCCAACACCGCCACCAACTATTCGGCCTTCCACCAACTAACATGACACCCCGCTGCCCACGACAGCACCACGCGGCACAGGCTACCCGCCCTCGCAAGCCAAAGCTCTCCTCTCCCGCCTCACACCCGCCGCGCCCCCAACCCGCGTCCGCCGCCTCCTCCCCTTCCTCGCTGTTCTTGGCATGTTGCCCTGAGCTCAACGGTCGTCTTTATACCATCGTCGCTCTCTTCGTCGGGGTGGGATTCAAATCTGGTTCCGCCGCATGGGACAACGAATATGCCTACGGGGATGGCGGGTATGAGAGCAGCGCAGACGGCCCCTCGTGAGTCGTCGCCGTTCTTCCGCAACACCCACCCGGCGCTGCATGCGCGCCTCTTCCTCGCGCGCGCACAGGCCGAGATCCGCGCGCGCGGGCTCGACACGTGCGGTAGCCAGCTCAGCGCGCGTATGGTCGATGCATCGACAATGTGGTGCCCCACTGTGAGAGGACTCGTGCGCTCTCTTTCCCTCCTTCCTTCCTCCACATTCACTTCCCTTTATTTTATTTCTTACTGACGCACACACGCACGACAGACACCTCCCCCGCCTCCATAGCCTGCCTCACCCCCGCCGCCCCCAGCAAGGGGTATTTTAACGGCTCGACCGTGACAGTGGTCTTTTAGTTAACGTCGCCTGCTCGGAGTCGGCATTGAAATCGTTTGAATGGTTGCCAAATGGTTGCTGGCAGCTGTCGGGCGCCCCCACTGGCACGAGATGGTAACGTCGAACATCTTTTGCCGCTTGCCAAATTCTTGCGGAGCCTCGTCCTGGTTATCAACTGGAGGTGCGGGGACAAGTCACAGCTTGAAGTTCAATGTTCGATAGAATGAATGACTCCGAGTCGGATTCGATGCGGATCACCCGGCGCCAATTAAGGTGATGCTCGAAAAGTTTTCACCAACGGTTGAACCACGGCAGCAGAAAAAGAGAAACATTTCAATTTTTATAATGCCGACGCCTTGCGTCGCGTTGGCCTTGTTTGCTCGGACTCAACGATCGGTTTGTCACACGGCGGTCGCGGAGAGCCCCCGGGGGCTGCGACGGCGGACGACGTCTTTGCAAATTCAATTCAAAGCTGTGTTATTATTCTTCATATTCTCAACTTGATGTTCGAACAGCTGCATAGGCCTATTGCATACTGGCAGTTCGGCGTGTACATCCTCGTGCCCATGACTCGGAATCTCAATCGTGGCGTCTGTCTTTCTATGGCGAGGCTTGATTTAGTCATTTACCGCTGTAAGTAACTAGCCGCTACTACCAATTTCACTGCCCTGTGCTGGCGTGCTAAGTAAGCGCCGAATCTCAAATGGAGAATTCCACTAGAGTGCCAGGAGAAATCGGAAGCAAGCCCTTCCTGCTTCTCGCCTCCAGTTTCCCAAAATTGGTGGAACAGAATCATTTTCGCTCGCACGCCACAGAATGATGTGGTTCTTGGACTTCACAACGTAAGCCATGACCACTGAAAGGTTGAAACATCTTTAAACACACCCTGTACAATGTCCACAGCTGATAACAGCCCTTGATCAACTCATGAGCACAAGCGCCCGTGAGCTGTTGACTGCATGGTATATGCACCTCTGGGTCTGGAAGCTTGAGGTGAGTCCGCCTGCGTCACTGAGAACTGGAGCGCGACTGCTGGTACTGATGCAGAAAAAGAGGTCGTTGAGCAGCTTAACCAACCGTGATCTCCCGAAAACAATTGCTCGAACGGATAAATGACAGCTGCGGGCCATGCGAATCTTAGCGCCTGGAGCTCCTGAGCTGCCACACGAGCGGTATGCGTGTCCTGCACGTGCCTGCTCGCCAAGTATTTAAAGCGCCTCGTTCTCTAGCTCTCCTTGACACCACCAGCTCGTTTACACAACCCACACAAGACCTTCTGATATCCGCCAAGTCGAGATTTTCATCTATGCAGTTGTACAATGGTACTTCGAACCCCACACCAGAAACTCCACGGCCGAACACGCCACCGCACGTCTATGTGGGGGTCCGTCATGTCGTTGGCGGTACGTCTTCTCGTTTCATATCATCTCGCCACATCCCAAGGCCGCCGCAATGTGCAGGCAATATTTCCATAGTCAACTCTCCTGTTTCCGTTCATTTCGATTCAATGCCAGGTGTGCCCTTCCATCTCTGCCGTCCACGAGGTTTCCAGTCTGATCCGACATAGTGAGACCGCAGGGAAGCCACAGTGTCATCATCGCGTCAACACTCACGGAGGCAAGCGGTATGTATATTGCCACTCACCATTCGTTGGTCCATTATTAAATAAATCGCAGGTACATATACTGTGTGGGATTCTCCCACCACAATGTCTATTTCGTATGCTAAGCCTCCAGGTGGGTGTATAATCTGTGTGCCGCTTGCTATGACGAAAATGCTGATGAAAAACAGACGTGCTACTAAAACCAAGCCCGTCACCTCACAACCCGCCAATGAACATCCCAGGACCGATAGGCGGATACTCTAATAATCCTCCTCGATCGCGCCGTGCGTCGGCGTCTCATACTCTCGTACTTATGTTCTGACACGGCCTATACACACCCTCCGAATTTCGCCAGCATCCTTCGCCCCCATATTCCAGGAACGAATGTCCATATCGCACACCGTGGTTCGGATGTTGGGAAGCTGGAGTCGGTCATGCAGCCCCGTCGGACGCCTACGGAGGCAACAGTACAGACTTGTGATTTTGCTCCGAGTCTCCGCACTGAAAATTGACAGATCCAGAGGCATATCAGAACCGAACGCCATCATGCAACAATTCTCATTTTGGGCAGTTTCACGAAGAATCGCAGAGCTACTACGAAAACGCGCTAAACTTCCAAGTGGGATCAAG